TCTTACCATTATTAGAGGAAAAAACGGTGATCCAATCTCCAACTCCCAGAAACAGGTTTGCAGATTTGCTGAGAATTTCTGTGAAGTCCTGGGAAAGGGGAAATCCCTCCACATGGAAAACATCCTGGCACAAAGTGGGGATGACCCTGCTGAGGCTGCGGTGCCTCAAATATTTGAAGGAGTCACCCCCTGTGAGTGGCTGGCTGAGGTGTCATCTGTTGAGGAAGTACTAAAGGTGATCCAGAGTCTGAGACCAGGAAAGGCAGCGGGCAGAGATGATCTCCCAAGCGAAATGGTGAGGGAGGGTGGCATTGTGCACAGACTGCCTACAAGACATCATAACAACAGTCTGGACCACTGGACGGGTTCCACAGGATTGGAAGGATGCCCTTTTGGTCCCCCTCTTTAAGAAGGGGGACCACACAGACTGTAACAACTACAGGGGCATCTCCCTCCTCAGTGTGCCGGGAAAGGTCCTGGCAAGGATTATTCAACATCGCCTTGCCAGGCACGCTGAGGAGAGGCTTGCGGAGCCCCAATGTGGTTTCAGGAAAGGGTAGTTTTGCACAGATGCCATATTTTCTGTCTGTTTGCTACAGCAGAGGTGTAGGGAATTCCAACAACATCTACATCTCTGATTTATTGACCTGGTCAAGGCCTATGATACCATCAGTAGACCTGGGCTCTGGATTGTTCTTCGTGCTTTCGGAGTCCCTGACCCTCTGCTCACGATCATTAAGGACCTTCATGATGGTGAGCGGGCCGGGGTAAAACTACGTGGCCGGGAGTCAGAGCCATTCCCTGTACACCTTGGGGTGCGACAGGGATGTCCTCTGGCTCCGACATTATTTAACATCAATTTTGACCACGTAGTTCATGAAGCCTTTGTACCATCGGACACTCCACCCCCACAACTCCCAATTGGTGATAGGGCAGTTGTGGAGAGTGTGGAGAGTTTACCATACCTTGGCAGTGTGCTCATGACCGGCTCCGTTTTAACAGCAGAGGTCTCACTCCGAATCAGTCGAGCGGCATTATCTTTTCATTGGTTGCGTAACGCTGTGTGGAAGCTACCTGGTCTGTCGCTCCGCACGAAGCTTCAGGTCTTCTCGGCCACGTTCCCTCCCTTCTGCGAAACGTGGACCCCCCTAATGGAACATCGTCGCCAGTTAGAAACATTTAGGCTGGCCTGCCTACGATCCATTCTGGGTTTAACCAGGCTGGATTGTGTGAGGAGCTCACAAATCCTTGAAATATCGGTGAGCTCCTCCGGTAGGCAAGGCTGCGTTGGCTGGGCCATGTAGCCCGCATGCCCAATCACCGCATGCCGAAACAGCTTTTGTTCGGCCGGATCGAGGGGTCTAAGCGGGCGCGGCACGGCTAGAGAAGAGATGGAGTGACGTGGTACAGGAGGACGTGGAGCTGAGTGGACTTGCCGATGACCGGTACCAGCGGTGTCAAGATCGGCCTCTGTGGAGGAGGCTCGTGAAGGACGCTACTGGGCAGTTGGAGGCAGTCGCCCTCCAACAACAACGTAGGGCGGAGGAGCGACGCTCACAAAACGAGCGGAGCGCCGGGTGGCTAAAGCACAGCAGTTGGCACAGTAGGGGGCACAGGTGGTGCATCAGCCAGTAGTCATCTCAGTCAGTCGACCCGTGGCACCCGCTGGGTCTGTCCCGTGACCTCCTGCCAGCGGGCGTTCGACACTTCACGTGGCGGCCTCAGGGTGCACCTAGCCTGGCACAAGCGTCGTGGTGACGTCACGTTGTTGTTGTTGTTGTTGTGTAAGCTCGTGTGCGTGCCCCCACCTTGCGGTAGTCCTGCTCGAGGCGCCTGACGCGGTGGCGCACCTCGTGGCCCTCGCGCCGGTACTCGTGTCGCGACGGCCACGTGGCCACCAGGCCGTACCCCTCCTCCTCATCCTCATCCTCCTCATCCTTCATCGTCGCCTCCTCCTCCTCCTCCTCGCGCCACTTCGCCGATCGCTCGCGGGGAGAGCGACCGCGTCGGCTGGCGCCGCGGTCGCTCCGGGCAGGGGCGGGGGGCCTGCCGCCCAGGGCCGGAGCGGGGGGCCCGCCGCCCAGGGCCGGGGCGGGGGGCCCGCCGCCCAGGGCCGGAGCGGGGGGCCCGCCGCCCAGGGCCGGAGCGGGGGGCCCGCCGCCCAGGCCGGAGCGGGGGGCCCGCCGCCCAGGGCCGGAGCGGGGGGCCCGCCGCCCAGGGCCGGAGCGGGGGGCCCGCCGCCCAGGGCCGCGGTGTCCCCGTCCTGCCACCAGCTCGCGACGCTCCAGTCCCCCCCTTCCGCCTCCCCCTCCTCTTCCTCCTTCATCGTCACCTCCGCCTCTTCCTCCGGCCGCTCTTCCTTCATCGTCGCCGCCTCCCCCTCCCGCTCCTCCTCCTTCGGTTCCACCCCCTCCTGCTCCATCTCCTCCACCGCCTCCTCCTCCTCATCCTCCCAGCTGACGCAGGAGGAGTGGTCGGTTTTGGCGGCGGACCGAGCGACGACGCGGCGACGCTGCCGCGGCCGCGGCTGCGACGAGGTGGAGGTGGAGGAGGTGGAGGAGGTGGAGGAGGTGGTGGTGGTGGTGGTGGTGGTGGACGAGAGCAACGCGGCGACTCCGGGAGCCGGTGCAGCCGGCCGAGTGCAGCGCTGGGGCCGCTGATTTCCTCCCACGGCGGCGAGTACCCAACGGCTCCACCACCGCTCCTCCACCTCCACCTCCTCCTCCACCTCCTCCTCCACCTCCTCCTCCACCTCCTCCTCCACCTCCTCCACCACCTCCCCTCCCATCCTCCCACCTCCTCCGTCGCCACCTCCTCTGTCGCCACCGCCCCTGCTCGGTTTCGCGAAATGCGGTCGGCCGATGGCAAGTGAAGAGTGTCGGCCGTTCCATCTCGGAGGCTGCTCCACCTCCAACCCCGGCTCCACCTCCACCTCCAACCCCCCCCTCCTCCTGCCCGGGCTCCACACGGAGATGAGGGCGGCCGTGGCGGCGTCCACGGAGGTCGGAGGGCGGCCTGCGGAGCCAGGGGGCCATCAAACTCGGCGCCAACGCAGCAACAGCAGCAACAGCAGCAACAGCAACAGCAGCAACAGCAGCAGCAACAGCAGCAGCAGCAGCAACAGCAGCAGCAGCAGTAGCAACAGCAGCAGCAACAGCAGCAACAGCAGCAGGAACAACAGAAGCAACAGAAGCAGCAACAGCAGCAGCAGCAGCATCAACAACAGCAACAGAAGCAGCAACAGAAGCAGGAACAACAGAAGCAACAACAGCAGGAGGAAGGAAGAAGGGTGGGTGGGGTGGGTTTGGAGGGTGGGTGGGGTGGGGTGGGTAGGGTGGGTGGGTAGGGTGGGTGGTGGGTGGGTGGGGTGGGTGGGTGGGTATGGTGGGGTGGTTGGAGTGGGGTGGTTAAGCACAGACTGCAAGACCCTCTCTAAAAGCTGCCTCTGCAAGGCTTAAAAGAGGGCTCTCAGTTTGCTGGCAGTCACCAGGGCCACGCACTGTTCCTGGGAGGCCCCATCCCAGCGAGAAGATTTGATCGCTCCGTTTGGGAGAATTTGGACTCTCCACTTTGCCCCTCTCTCTCTCTCTCTCTCCCTCGATCAAGGGTAAAGCCTTCGAAGGGTCGAATCACCGGCACCTGCTTGGCACTCGAAAACCTTTTTGGTTTTGGCTCTAACTTCGAAGGGTCAATTGGGTTGCTCTACAACATGGCCCAGCGTCTAGCGCGAGTCAACGGTTGACTAACTGCTCCAATAGACTTCAGCCCCCCTCACTCTCCCCCATGTAGTGTATAGTGTAGTGTATAGCGTAGTGTATAGTGTAGTGTGTAGTGTATAGTGTAGTGTAGTGTGTAACGTAGTGTATAGTGTAGTGTGTAGCGTAGTGTGTAGCTGTAGCGTTGTGTGTAGCGTTGTGTGTAGTGTATAGTGTATAGCGTAGTGTGTAGTGTATAGTGTAGTGTGTAGTGTATAGTGTAGTGTATAGTGTAGTGTGTAGCGTAGTGGTAGTGTATTGTGTAGTGTATAGCGTAGTGTATAGCGTAGTGTGTAACGTAGTGTGCAGTGTATAGTGTAGTGTGTAGTGTATAGTGTAGTGTATAGTGTAGTGTGTAGCGTAGTGTGGAGTGTATTGTGTAGTGTATAGCGTAGTGTATAGCGTAGTGTGTAACGTAGTGTGTAGTGTATAGTGTAGTGTGTAGTGTATAGTGTAGTGTATAGTGTAGTGTATAGTGTAGCGTAGTGTAGAGTGTAGTGTGTAGTGTAGTGTGTAGTGTATAGTGTAGTGTGTAGCGTAGTGTGTAGCGTAGTGTGTAGTGTATAGTGTAGTGTGTAGTGTATAGTGTAGTGTATAGTGTAGCGTAGTGTAGAGTGTAGTGTGTAGTGTAGTGTGTAGTGTATAGTGTAGTGTGTAGCGTAGTGTGTAGCGTAGTGTGTAGTGTATAGTGTAGTGTGTAACGTAGTGTATAGTGTAGTGTGTAACGTAGTGTGTAGTGTAGTGTGTAACGTAGTGTGTAGTGTATAGTGTAGTGTGTAACGTAGTGTATAGTGTAGTGTGTAACGTAGTGTGTAACGTAATGTGTAGTGTATAGTGTAGTGTGTAACGTAGTGTATAGTGTAGTGTGTAACGTAGTGTGTAACGTAGTGTGTAGTGTATAGTGTAGTGTGTAACGTAGCGTGTAGTGTAGTGTGTAGCGTAGTGCGTAGTGTATAGTGTAGCGTACACTATTCGCGACACAACAAGCCGAAGTCGTCACTAGCACAGCACACCGATCGCGCGTTGGGAGATCAAATCCACAACAACGACGACACTCCGGCCTACGGTGGTGAAGTCCGCCCCGGACTAGCGGCCCACCGTCTCCGGCATCAACCTACCGGGCGAGCCGGTCACTCGGGCCCACAACCCCTCCCCCTCCTCCTCCTCCCCTCCTCCTCCTCCTCCTCCTCCTCCTCCTCCTCCCCTCCCCTCCTCCTCCAGCCGCTGCTGCGGTTTCACACGCCTTCACCGCAGGCCCTGGAGGACGGCACGGAGCTGACGCGCCGCCGCTGCCGTCCCCGAAGGCGACGGGGCGGGGCCCGGAGTGGGAGGAGCCGGAGTGGGAGGAGGAGCCGGAGTGGGAGGAGGAGCCGGCGTGGGAGGAGGAGCCGGAGGGGGGAGGAGTCGGCGTGGGAGGAGCCGGAGTGGGAGGAGCCGGCGTGGGAGGAGTCGGAGTGGGAGGAGCCGGAGTGGGAGGAGCCGGAGTGGGAGGAGCCGGCGTGGGAGGAGACGGAGTGGGAGGAGCCGGCGTGGTAGGAGGAGTTGGCGTGGGAGGAGCCGGCGTGGGAGGCGGAGCCGGCGTGGGAGGCGGGCCGGCGTGGGAGGCGGAGCCGGCGTGGGAGGCGGAGCCGGCGTGGGAGGCGGTTGACCCCAACCTCCAGCACCTCCTCCACCTCCTCCACCTCCTCCACCTCCTCCCGCCCCGACCCCGCCACGGCCCCCCCCGTGCCCGCCCCCAGGAAGCCGTCGAGCTCGAAGAAGAACTTGCAAAGGCGCTTGCCACCGCACCGGCACCGCCGCCGCACTCCTTCATCTCACTCACCGCCTGGTGGTGGCGGGGAGCGGCGGGTTCACGGGAAGGGGGAGGAGCCAGAGGGGTGGTCACCATCATCACCATAGTCACCACCATCACCGTAGTCACACCACCATCATCACCGTAGTCACCACACCACCATCATCACCGTAGTCACCACCACCATCATCACCGTAGTCACCACCACCATCATCACCGTCGTCAACACCATCATCACCACCGTAGTCACCAGCACCACCACCGTAGTCACCACCACCACCGTAGTCACCACCATCATAGTCACCACCACCACCATAGTCACCACCACCACCACCGTAGTCACCACCACCACCGTAGTCACCACCACCACCATAGTCACCACCACCACCATAGTCACCACCACCACCGTAGTCACCACCACCATCATCACCGTAGTCACCACCATCACCACTTTCTGTGTTCATAGGCAGCTGCTGCTACTCGCTACTAACAGCACATGCCCCTACAGTCCGTCACAGGCTACACGGGGGACCTTTATCTTTGTGTGTAGGCAGCTGCTGCTGCTACTCACAGCACTTGCCCCTACAGCAGCATGCCCTGCTAGAGGCCACACGGGTGATCTTTGTCTTTGTGTGTAGCTGCTGCTACTCGCTACTCACAGCACTTGCCCCTACAGCCTGCTAGAGGCTACACGGGTGATCTTTGTCTTTGTGTGTAGCTGATGCTATTCGCTACTCACAGCACTTGCCCCTACAGCCTGTCACAGGCTACACGGGTGACCTTTATCTTTGTGTGTAGGCAGCTGCTGCTGCTGCTGCTGCTGCTGCCCCTACAGCCCTGCCAGGAGGCTCCCTCCGCGCGGCGGCGTCCACGCGGCACACCTTGCGGTAGTCCTGCGTGAGCCTCTTGATGCGGTGGTGGACCTCGTGGGGCGCCCTGCGGCAGCCCCGCGCCGCCAGGGCACGCGCCACCAGCCCGTAGATGTGGGCCCGGGGCACGGAGCGGCGGGCCAGGTGGCGCTGCACCGTGTCGTTCCTCCAGAGCGTGATGAGCGCCAGCGTCTCCTCCCCGCTCCACGCGGCCGAGCGCCGGCCGCGGCCGCCGGGCCGCCGGGCCGCCGGTGCCGCCGGTGCGGCTGCGGCGGCGGCGGCGGCGGCGTCTAGCGGAAGGGCGGCGGCGATTCACGGTGAGGCGCCAACAACAAAAACTACGCGGTGGTTGGTTTTTTAGTTTTTTTTTGCATTTTCCATTTTTGTTTTTTCGAGCATTTTTGCAATCTCGGCAGCGAATCGAGTTCGATTCGCGCTCAACCGGCCGGCGACTCACTCAGGCCATCAGACACTCGCCCACTCAACCACTCGCCCACTCACTCAACCACTCAACCACTCGCCCACTCACTCAACCACTCAACCACTTGCCCACTCAACCACTCACTCAACCACTCACTCAACCACTCACTCAACCACTCACTCAAACACTCACTCAAACACTCACTCACTCAACCACTCACTCACTCACCCACTCACCCAACCACTCGCCCACGCACACAACCACTCACCCACTCACTCACTCAAACACTCACCTACTCAACCACTCAACCACTCGCCCACTCACCCACTCACTCACTCACCCACTCACCCAACCACTCGCCCACTCACCCACTCACCCACTCAACCACTCACTCAACCACTCACTCAAACACTCACCCACTCAATCACTCACTCAACCACTCACTCAAACACTCACCCACTCACCCACTCACCCACTCACCCAACCACTCGCCCACGCACACAACCACTCACCCACTCACTCACTCAAACACTCACCCACTCGCCCAGTCACCCACTCGTTTACCCGCTCACTCACCCGCGCCGACTCACCCACTCACTCAACCACTCACCCACTCACCCACTCAACCACTCGCCCACTCACTCAACCACTCAACCACTCACTCAACCACTCACTCAACCACTCACTCAACCACTCACTCAACCACTCACCCACTCACTCAACCACTCACTCAAACACTCACTCAAACACTCACCCACTCAATCACTCACTCAACCACTCACCCACTCGCCCACTCACTCAACCACTCACTCAACCACTCACCCACTCAATCACTCACTCAACCACTCACCCACTCGCCCACTCACTCAACCACTCACTCAACCACTCACTCAAACACTCACCCACTCAATCACTCACTCAACCACTCACCCACTCAACCACTCACTCAACCACTCACTCAAACACTCACCCACTCAATCACTCACTCAACCACTCACTCACCCACTCAACCACTCACTCAACCACTCAACCACTCACTCAACCACTCACTCAACCACTCACTCAAACACTCACCCACTCAATCACTCACTCAACCACTCACTCAACCACTCACTCAACCACTCACTCAACCACTCAACCACACTCAACCAACCACTCAACCACTCACTCAACCACTCACTCAAACACTCACCCACTCAACCACTCGCCCACTCGTCCACTCACTCACTCACCCACTCACCCAACCACTCGCCCACGCACTCAACCACTCACCCACTCAACCATTCACCCACTCGCCCACTTACTCAAACACTCAACCACTCACTCAACCACTCACTCAAACACTAACCCACTCAACCACTCACTCAACCACTCGCCCACTCACCCACTCAATCACTCACCCACTCACCCAACCACTCGCCCACTCACCCACTCAACCACTCACCCACTCAACCACTCACTCAACCACTCGCCCACTCACTCAACCACTCGCCAACTCGCCCAGTCACCCGCTCGTTCACCCGCTCACTCACCCGCGCCGACTCACCTACTCACTCAACACTCACCCACTCACTCACTCAACCACTCATCCACTCACCCACTCACTCAACCACTCACTCACTCATCCACTCACTCACTCAACCACTCATCCACTCACCCACTCACTCAACCACTCACTCACTCATCCACTCACCCGGTCACCGATTCATCGACACACCCACTCACCGACTCGCCCACTCTCCCACCCACCTCCTCACCCACTCACCCACTCACTGAACCACTCACCCACTCACCCCCTCACCCACTCACCCACTCACCCACTCACCCTCCGACCCACCCCCCGCCCCACGATATAGATGGAGGGAGCAGGGAGGAGGAGGAGGAGGTGGGGGGGTGGGGGTGGGGGGGATGTAGAGGTCACCTCCGAAGCTGCGGCCCAAGTCGCCGCATGTGGAGACCTGCAGGGCCGGCAGGCGACGTCCGTCCAACGTGGAGCTCCACGCGGTCAGCGGCACCGCGGCCTCTGCACGGAGCCAAGCGGAGTCAGCCACGGGGAAGCCACGCACGGCGCTCCGTCCGTCTGTCCCTCCGTCTGTCCGTCCGTCCGTCCCTCCGTCTGTCTGTCTCCCCATCCGTCTGTCTGTCTCTCCGTCTGTCTGTCTCCCCATCCGTCCGTCTCTCCGTCTGTCTGTCTCCCCATCCGTCTGTCTGTCTCCCCATCCATCCGTCTGTCTCCCCATCCATCCGTCTGTCTCCCCATCCGTCCCTCCGTCTGTCTGTCTCCCCATCCGTCTGTCTGTCTCCCCGTCCATCTGTCTGTCTCTCCGTCCGTCTCTCCGTCTGTCTGTCTCCAAATCCATCTGTCCGTCCGTCCCTCTGTCTGTCTGTCTCCCCATCTGTCTGTCTCCCCAAGAGTCTGTCCGTCTCTCCGTCCCTCCCTCCGTCCCTCCCTCTGTCCGTCTCTCCGTCCGTCTCTCCGTCCGTCTCTTCACCCGTCCCTGTCTCTCCGTCCGTCTGTCCCTCCATTGCCCATCCCATTAACTTTCAGGAGCAAACATGATAACGATGGCGGGGACGGTGGCAATGGATTGTGGGTGTGTGGTTGTGTGGTTGTGTGTGTATGTGTTTGCATGTGCACAACTACAGGGGCATCTCACTCCTCAGTGTGCCGGGAAAGGTCCTGGCAAGGATTATTCAACATCGCCTTGCCAGGCACGCTGAGGAGAGGCTTGCGGAGCCCCAATGCGTTTCAGGAAAGGGCGGTCCTGCACAGATGCCATATTTTCTGTCCGTCTGCTACAGCAGAGGTGTAGGGAATTCCAACAACACCTACATTTTTGCTTTATTGACCTGGTCAAGGCCTATGATACCATCAGTAGGCCTGGGCTCTGGGATGTTCTTCGTGCTTTTGGAGTACCTGACCCTCTGCTCACGATCATTAAGGACCTTCATGATGGTGAGCGGGCCCGGGTAAAACTACGTGGCCGGGAGTCAGAGCCATTCCCTGTACACCTTGGGGTGCGGCAGGGATGTCCTCTGACTCCCACATTATTTAAAATCAATTTTGACCACGTAGTTCGTGAAGCCTTCAATAGCTGTACCGGGGGAATCTCCATATGGTACAGATCGATGCCCGGGTGCAGTCAAGGGATGGCTCCCTATTGCTCAACCACGTTATGTATGCCGATTATTTGGTAATAGCTGCTCATTCAGAGGAGGAGTTGGAGACGCTGCTGATGAGACTGGAGCGTGCCACTAAGAGATGGGGCCTTACCATCAGCCCCACCAAAACTAAGCACCTGCCTGGGTATTTTGTACCATCGGACACTCCACCCCCACAACTCCCAATCGGTGATGAGGCAGTTGTGGAGAGAGTGGAGAGTTTCCCATACCTGGGCAGTGTGCTTATGACCGGCTCCAGTTTAACAGCAGAGGTCTCACTCCGAATCAGTCGAGCGGCAATATCTTTTCATCAGTTGCGTAACGCTATGTGGAAGCTACCTGGTCTGTCACTCCGCACTAAGCTTCAGGTCTTCTCGGCCACGGTCATTCCCTCCCTTCTCTACGCTTGCGAAACGTGGACCCCCCTAATGGAACATCTTCGCCGGTTAGAGACATTTAGGCTGGCCTGCCTACGATCCATCCTGGGTTTAACCAGGCTGGATTGTGCGAGGAGCTCACAAATCCTTGAACGATCTGGGCACGGTCCCATCGGTGAGCTCCTCCGGCAGGCAAGGCTGCGTTGGCTGGGTCATGTAGCCCGCATGCCCAGCCACCGCATGCCGAAACAGATTTTGTTCGGCCGGATCGAGGGGGCAAAACGGGCGCGGCACGGGCTAGAGAAGAGATGGAGTGCAGGTACAGGAGGACGTGGAGTTGAGTGGACTTGCCGATGACCGGTACCAGCGGTGTCAAGATCGGCCTCTGAGGAGGAGGCTCGTGAAGGATGCTACTGGGCAGTTGGAGGCAGTCGCCCTCCAACAACAACGGAGGGCGGAGGAGCGACGCTCACAAAAACGAGCGGAGCGCCGGGTGGCTAAAGCACAGCAGGTTGGCACAGTAGGGGGCACAGGTGATGCATCAGCCAGTCATCTCAGTCAGTCGACCCATGGCACCTGGGTCTGCCCCGTGACCTCCTGCCAGCGGGCGTTCGACACTTCACATGGCCTCAAGGTGCACATGGCCTGGCACAAGCGTCCTGGTGACGTCACCGCCACTTAGTGGCGAATGGCGGTTGTTGTTGTTGTTGTGTGTGGGTGTGCACGGGTGTGTGTGTGTGTGCGGGTGTGTGTTTGTGGGTGTGTGTGTGGGTGTGCAGGTGTGTGCAGGTGTGTGCAGGTGTGTGTGTGTCTGTGTGTGTGTGTGTGTTTGTGTGTGTCTGTGTGTGTGTGGGTGTGGCAGAGAGCAACTCCGCCTGTAGTGCCGGGGAGTCTCACGGACAGCCACACATCACGTCGCCAGCATCTCAACACCCCCAGTGACAGCTGTCTCTGTGTCAGCCTGCTGGCAGTAGTAGGGGTAGCGATGATTGCTGCTGCTGCTGTGTGGGTCTATAGCCTAGGGGCACCCCCAGTGACAGCTGTCTCTGTGTGTCAGTCTGCTGGTAGTAGTAGGCGTAGCGATGATTGTTGCTGTGTGTGTCTATAGCCTAGGGGCACCCCCAGTGACAGCTGTCTCTGTGTGTGTCAGCCTGCTGGTAGTAGTAGGGGTAGCGATGATTGCTGCTGCTGCTGTGTGTGTCTATAGCCTAGGGGCACCCCAGCGGCAGCTGTCTCTGTGTGTGTCAGTCTGCTGGCAGTAGTAGGGGTAGCGATGATTGCTGCTGCTGTGAGTCTATAGCCTAGGGGCACCCCCAGTGACAGCTGTCTCTGTGTGTGTCAGCCTGCTGGCAGTAGTAGGGGTAGCGATGATTGCTGCTGCTGCTGTGTGTGTCTATAGCCTAGGGGCACCCCCAGCGGCAGCTGTCTCTGTGTGTCAGTCTGCTGGCAGTAGTAGGGGTAGCGATGATTGCTGCTGCTGTGTGGGTCTATAGCCTAGGGGCACCCCCAGTGACAGCTGTCTCTGTGTGTGTCAGTCTGCTGGTAGTAGTAGGGCTAGCGATGATTGCTGCTGCTGCTGCTGTGTGGGTCTATAGCCTAGGGGCACCCCCAGTGACAGCTGTCTCTGTGTGTGTCAGTCTGCTGGTAGTAGTAGGGCTAGCGATGATTGCTGCTGCTGCTGCTGTGTGGGTCTATAGCCTAGGGGCACCCCCAGTGACAGCTGTCTCTGTGTGTGTCAGCCTGCTGGTAGTAGTAGGGCTAGCGATGATTGCTGCTGCTGCTGCTGTGTGGGTCTATAGCCTAGGGGCACCCCCAGCGGCAGCTGTCTCTGTGTGTGTCAGTCTGCTGGTAGTAGTAGGGCTAGCGATGATTGCTGCTGCTGCTGTGTGGGTCTATAGCCTAGGGGCACCCCCAGTGACAGCTGTCTCTGTGTGTGTCAGTCTGCTGGTAGTAGTAGGGCTAGCGATGATTGCTGCTGCTGCTGCTGTGTGGGTCTATAGCCTAGGGGCACCCCAGTGACAGCTGTCTCTGTGTGTGTCAGCCTGCTGGTAGTAGTAGGGCTAGCGATGATTGCTGCTGCTGCTGCTGCTGTGTGGGTCTATAGCCTAGGGGCACCCCCAGCGGCAGCTGTCTCTGTGTGTGTCAGTCTGCTGGTAGTAGTAGGGCTAGCGATGATTGCTGCTGCTGCTGCTGTGTGGGTCTATAGCCTAGGGGCACCCCCAGTGACAGCTGTCTCTGTGTGTGTCAGCCTGCTGGTAGTAGTAGGGCTAGCGATGATTGCTGCTGCTGCTGCTGCTGTGTGGGTCTATAGCCTAGGGGCACCCCCAGCGGCAGCTGTCTCTGTGTGTGTCAGTCTGCTGGTAGTAGTTAGGGCTAGCGATGATTGCTGCTGCTGCTGCTGTGTGGTCTATCCTAGGGGCACCCCCAGTTACGCTGCTCTGTGTGTGTCACCTGCTGGTAGTAGTAGGGCTAGCGATGATTGCTGCTGCTGCTGTGTGGGTCTATAGCCTAGGGGCACCCAGCGGCAGCTGCTCCCCCCGTGACCCCCGTGCGCCGTTACCTGAGCTGCTCGTCTCAGCCAGCGCCGAGGGAGGGGCGAAGCGCCGGCCTCTGAGACCACCGAGCTCCGGCCGCCGGCGATCGCCGTGTGCCGGTGACGGCGCTGCTGCTGCTGCTGGTGCTGTGGTGCTGTTGCTGCTGCTGTTGCTGCTGCTGGTGCTGGTGCTGCTGGTGCTGCTGTTGGTGCTGCTGGTGCTGCTGCTGGTGCTGATGCTGCTGCTGTGCTGGTGCTGCTGTGCTGCTGTGCTGCTGCTGCTGCTGATGCTGATGCTGTTGCTGCTTCTGCTGCTGATGCTGCTGCTGGTGCTGGTAGTGCTGCTGGTGCTGCTGCTGGTGCTGCTGGTGGTGGTGCTGCTGCTGGTGCTGCTGGTGTTGGTAGTGCTGTTGCTGCTGCTGCTGCTGGTGCTGTTGGTGGTGCTGGTTGTGCTGCTGGTGTTGGTGGTGCTGTGGCGGCGGTGGCGGAAGAGCGGAGGTGCAGGGACGGTCGGCGAGGAGGGACACCACGGACGACGACGCGGCACCGGCGGCAACACCGGCGGCACCGGCGGCCACCGGCGGCGGCACCGGTGCGGCGTCGGTGCGGAGGAACGCGTCGAGCTCCTGGAAATACTTGCAGCTCGTCCTGCGAGCGCCACCACCGCCGCCCGACTGCTTCAGCGAGTTCACGTCCTGCCGGGTGGTGGGAGGTGGTGGTGGTGGTGGTGGTGGTGGTGGGGGGGGTGGGGGGGGGTGGTGGTGGGGGGGGGGGGGGGGGGGAGTGTCAGGACGCTCCGTGCGGAGCGACAGACCAGGTAGCTTCCACAAAGCTTCACGCAACCGATGAAAAGATATTGCCGCTCGACTGATTCGGAGTGAGACCTCTGCTGTTAAACCGGAGCCGGTCATAAGCACACTGCCCAGGTATGGGAAACTCTCCACTCTCTCCACAACTGCCCCATCACCGATTGGGAGTTGTGGGGGTGGAGTGTCCGATGGTACAAAATACCCAGGCAGGTGCTTAGTTTTGGTGGGGCTGATGGTAAGGCCCCACCTCTTAGTAGCACTTGCACGTGTGTGTGTGTGTGAGCGTATGTGTGCGTGCGTATCGTGCGTGTTTGCGCGTTTGTGTACGTGTGCGCGTGTGTGTGTGCGTGTGTGGTGTGCTGTGTGTACGTGCGCGTGTGTGTGTGCGTGTGTGTGTGTGCGTTGTGCGTGTGGGCGTGTGTGTGCGCGTGTCTGTGTGTGCGTGTGTGTACGTGTGTGTGTGTGCGTGTGCATGCGTGTCTGTGTGTGTATGTCTGCGTGCGTGCGTGTGTATGTGTGTGCATGTAGTCCGGCAAAACAACCCCCTACCTCCTCGCGGTGCCGGACGGGCAACTCTGTCGTGGACAGTGCTGTGGGGGGAGGTCCAATTCCGATTGGCTCCTCCCTTCATGGCGTCTGTGTCCACCACAGGGGCTAAACGGGGGCTCTGGACGGGTGCGAGGGGCTGGTAACCCCTCCACCTTCAATTCATTACCACTAAACTACGACTGAAATATATAACTAATAAGCTTGTGCCGGAGGCCCCGGGGGGCCAGGCGTCTATGACGTCTCCTGGCCAAACCCCAATTGGCGGAGCCAGCAGATTGAATATCTACCCTCGGGGCTCCTCCAGAAACAACGAAAAACCACTACGGGTGGCCACGTGGAATGTTCGAACGCTCACTGCGGAGGAGAGGCTGCCACTCCTCTGTCGGGAGCTGGACCGGTACCGCCTGGATCTATGTGGCATTCAGGAGGTCCGGTGGACCGGTTCTGGCTCCTGCCACCATGAGGGGTGGACAGTCCTCTACTCGGGGCAGCAGACTGCCAAACAACAGGGTGTGGCTCTTCTTTTGAACAAAAGAATGAAGGGGGCATGGGAGCGTGGCGGTGAGGTGTGGGAAGCTGTAAGCCCCAGGCTACTTTGGGCTCGCCTTCCCATCAACCGGAGGTGAGGAATGGTGGTCGTGGTTACTTATGCCCCCACCGAAGATGAACATCCGTGGAGGGATGCAGGCAAAGCCGATGAGTCAGATGCCTTCTATGACCTCCTGTCACAGGTGCTGGCTAAAGTGGCCCCTCGGGATAGAGTCATCATGTTGGGTGACTTCAATGCCCGAGTTGGTCATGATGCTGGCACCTGGTCTGGAGTGATTGGAGGGCATGGGCCAGATCAGCTCAATAACAACGGTAGGAGGCTGCTAGATTTTTGTGCAGCCCATGGGCTTGTAATTACCAACACGCTGTTCCGGCATCGGCGCATCCACACAACATCATGGATGCATGCCGGGTCCAAGCAAGAACATCTGCTGGACTACATAGTGACGGACCAGCGGATGCGAGCCCATGTCCTTGACACCAGGACCTACCGTGGAGCTGATCTGCCCTCTGACCATCGGCTAGTCATCTGTAAGATGCGCCTGCCATTCTTCCACTCCGGTGGTGGGTGTACACCCAGGACCCCAATCCAACCTAAAAAGTGGCCTGGTCTCAGTTATCTGATGAAAGTTGCAAGCAAGAATTTCATCATCACTTGCATTTACCCGAGGGTAAATGTGACTCATGCAGCTGCAATGGCTGCTTTGGGTACGCGGCCCAGACCTCCCCAGAGACCCTGGCTGACAAAGGAGGTGTTCAGGATGGTTGAGAAAAAGCGACAGGCCCACTGTCATCGGCTACAGAATCCCACGTCAGAGAATGAGGAGGCTTACCGCAGCCTTCGCTCGGAGGTTCGAGAGCCGTGAGGCGCTGCAAGGATGGGTGGTGGTCGCGGGTTGCTGAGAGATGAGTCTGCCTAAGTGGCCCGTGATCACAAATCTCTATTTAACGCCATCAAAAACGTAACCTGCAGCACCACACCTATTACCATCATTAGGGGAAAAAACGGTGATCCAATCTCCGACCCCCAGGAACAGGTTTGCAGATTTGCTGAGCATTTCTGAGGTCCTGGGAGAGGGAAAATCCCTCAGCCAGGAAAACATCGTGGCACAAAGTGAGGATGACCCTGCTGAGGCTGCAGTGCTTCAAATATTGGAAGAAGTCACCCCCTGTGAATGGCTGGCTGAGGTGCCATCTGTTGAGGAAGTACTAAGGGCGATCAGGAGTCTGAGACCAGGAAAGGCAGCGGGCAGAGATGATCTCCCAAGCGAAATGCTGAGGGAGGGTGGCGTTTGTGCACAGACTGCCCTATATGACATCATAACAACAGTCTGGACCACTGGATGGGTTCCGCAGGATTGGAAGGATGCCCTGGTGGTCCCCCTTTTTAAGAAGGGGGACCGCACAGACTGTAACAACTACAGGGGCATTTCACTCCTCAGTGTGCCGGGAAAGGTCCTGGCAAGGATTATTCAACATCGCCTTGCCAGGCACACTGAGGAGAGGCTTGCGGAGCCCCAATGCGGTTTCAGGAAAGGGCGGTCCTGCACAGATGCCATATTTTCTGTCCATCTGCTACAGCAGAGGTGTAGGGAATTCCAACAGACCTACATCTCTGCTTTATTGACCTGGTCAAGGCCTATGATACCATTCAGTAGGCCTGGGCTCTGGGTTGTTCTTCGTGCTTTTGGAGTACCTGACCCTCTGCTCACGATCATTAAGGACCTTCATGATGGTGAGCGGGGCCCGGGTAAAACTTACGTGGCCGGGAGTCAGAGCCATTCCCTGTACACCTTGGGTGCGACAGGGATGTCCTCTGGCTCCCACATTATTTAACATCTATTTTGACCACGTAGTTCGTGAAGCCTTCAATAGCTGTACCGGGGGAATCTCCATATGGTACAGATATAATGGGAGGCTGATCGATGGCCGGGTGCGGTCAAGGGATGGCTCCCTATTGCTCAACCACGTTATGTATGCTGATGATTTGGTAATTGCTGCTCATTCAGAGGAGTTGGAGACGCTGCTGCTGAGACTGGAGCGTGCCACAAAGAGGATGGGGCCTTACCATCAAGCCCCACCAAAATTAAGCACCTGCCTGGGTATTTTGTACCATCGACACTCCACCCCCACAACTCCCAATCGGTGATGGGGCAGTTGTGGAGAGAGTGGAGAGTTTCCCATACCTGGGCAGTGTGCTTATGACCGGCTCCAGTTTAACAGCAGAGGTTCACTCCGAATCAGTCGAGCGGCAATATATTTTCATCGGTTGCGTAACGCTGTGTGGAAGCTACCTGGTCTGTCGCTCCGCACTAAGCTTCAGGTCTTCTCGGCCACGGTCATTCCCTCCCTTCTCTACGCTTGCGAAACGTGGACCCCCCTAATGGAACATCTTCGCCGGTTAGAAACATTTAGGCTGGCCTGCCTACGATCCATCCTGGGTTTAACCAGACTGGATTGTGTGAGGAGCTCACAATCCTTGAAAGATCTGGGCAGGGTCCCATCGGTGAGCTCCTCCGGCAGGCAAGGCTGCTATGCTGGTCATGTAGGCCCGCATGCCAAGCCACCGCATGCCGAAACAGCTTTTGTTCGGCCGGATTGAGGGGGCTAAAGCGGCGCTGGCACGGGCTAGAGAAGAGATGGAGTGATGTGGTACAGGAGGACGTGGAGCTGAGTGGACTTTGCCGATGACCTGGTACCAGCGGTGTCAAGCTCGGCCTCTGTGGAGGAGGCTCGTGAAGGATGCTACTGGGCAGTTGGAGGCAGTCGCCCTCCAACAACAAACGGGAGGGCGGAGGAGCGACGCTCACAAACAACGAGCGGAGCGCCGGGTGGCTAAAGCACAGCAGGTTGGCACAGTAGGGGGCACAGTTGGTGCATCAGCCCAGTCATCTCAGTCAGTCGACCCGTGGCACCTGGGTCTGCCCCGTGACCTCCTGCCAGCGGGCGTTCGACACTTCACGTGGCCTCAGGGTGCACATAGGCCTGGCACAAGCGTCCTGGTGACGTCACCGCCACTTAGTGGCGAATGGTGGTTGTTGTTGTGTCCGTGTGTGTGTGTGTCCGTGTGTGTGTCCGTGTGTGTGTGTGTCCGTGTGTGTGTGTGTGTCCGTGTGTCTGTGTGTGTGTGTGTGTCACTGTGTGTCTGTGTGTCTGTGTGTGTGTCTGTGTGTGTGTGTGTGTGTATGTGTCTGTGTGTGTGTACTGTGTGTCACTGTGTGTGTGTGTCACTGTGTGTGTGTGTGTCTGTGTGTGTCTGTGTGTGTCTGTGTGTGTGTCTGTGTGTGTGTCTGTGTGTCTGTGTGTGTGTCTGTGTGTGTGTCTGTGTGTGTCTGTGTCTGTGTGTGTGTGTCTGTGTGTGTGTCTGTGTGTGTGTGTGTCTGTGTGTGTGTCTGTGTGTGTGTCTTTGTGTCTGTGTGCCCCACCTTGCGGTACTCCTGCTTGAGACGCTTCATGCGGTTGCGCACTTCGTCCGCCCCGCGACGGCAGCCCCCGCGCGCCAGCTCCCTCGCGATCGCCGCACAGGCGTCACCGCCACCGGTGCCACCGCCGGTGCCACCGCCGGTGCCACCGGTGCCACCGCCGTGCCTCCTCCTCGCCGCGCCGGCCGCCACGTCCGGGGCTGCTGCTGCTGGTGGTGTGGTGCTGCTGCTGCTGCTGGTGGTGGTGGTGCTGCTGCTGCTGCTGGTGGTGGTGGTGCTGCTGCTGCTGCTGCTGCTGGTGCTGCTGCTGCTGCTGGTGGTGGTGGTGGTGCTGCTGGTGGTGGTGGTGCTGCTGCTGCTGCTGCTGCTGGTGGTGGTGCTGCTGCTGCTGGTGGTGGTGGTGCTGCTGCTGTTGCTGCTGCTGGTGGCGCCGTCTCCACGCCCGCAGCAGCAGCGTCGTCTCACGCTCGCTCCAGTGGCTGGGGCGGCGACGCGGCGGCGGAGACGGTGGGGCAGGGGAGCACGGTCGGACACCGACACCGGCACCCTCCTCATCATCATCCTCCTCATCATCCTCATCATCCTCATCATCCTCCTGCTGCTGCTGGTGCTGGTGGTGGTGGTGGTTGTGGTGGTGGTTGTGGTGAAGCTTCCTCCTGTTCCTTGCCGGGGCTGCTGCCGCCGCTGCTGCTGCTGCCTTCCGCTTCGTGCCACCAAACGCTGCTACCCAGACACACTCACACACAGACACACACAGACACACACACAGACACACACACAGACACACACACAGACACACACAGACACACACACAGACACACACACAGACACACACACTCACACACAGACACACACAGACACACACACAGACACACACACAGACACACACACACAGACACACACAGACACACACACAGACACACACATAGACACACACAGACACACACAGACACACACACAGACAGACACACACACAGACACACACACAGACACACAGACACACACACACACACCACAGACACACACACAGACACACAGACACACACAGACACACACACAGACAAACACACAGACACACAGACACACACACAGACACACACACAGACACACACACACAGACACACACACTCACACACAGACACACACACACACACACACACAGACACACACACACAGACACACACAGACACACACACAGACACACACATAGACACACACAGACACACACAGACACACACACAGACAGACACACACACAGACACACACACAGACACACAGACACACACACACACACACACAGACACACACACAGACACACAGACACACACAGTACACACACACAGACACACACACAGACACACAGACACACACACAGACAACCACACAGACACACACACACAGACACACACACTCACACACAGACACACAGACACACACACAGGACACACACACAGACACACAGACACACAGACACACACACACACACAGACACACAGACACACATAGACCACACACACACACACATAGACACACACACATAGACACACACTCACACAGACACACACACAGACAACACACACACAGACACACACACACACACAGACAGACACACACACACACACAGACACACACACACACACACAGACCACACACACAGGACACACACACAGACACACACACACACAGACACACACACAGACACACACACAGACACACAGACACACACACAGACACACACAGACACACACACACAGACACACACAAACACACAGACACACACACAGACACACACACACAGACACACACACAGACACACACACAGACACACAGACACACACACAGACACACACACAGACACACAGACACACACACACCACACAGACACACAGGACACACATAGACACACACAACACACACATAGACACACACACATAGACACACACTCACACAGACACACACACAGACACACACACACAGACACACACACACACAGACAGACACACACACACACACCAGACACACACACACACACAGACACACACACAGACACACACACAGACACACACACAGACACACACAGACACACACACAGACACACACACAGACACACAGACACACACACAGACACACACACAGACACACACACACAGAACAACACAAACACACAGACACACACACGACACAACACACAGACACACACACAGACACACACACAGACACACAGACACACACACAGACACACACACAGACACACACACACAGACACACACACACAGACAGACACACACACAGACACACACACACACACACAGACACACAGAGAGACACACACACACATAGACACACACACAGACACACATAGACACACACACACACACATAGACACACACACACACACACATAGACACACACACATAGACCACACACACAGACACACACAAACACACAACAAGCACCTATGAAGGCCGGAACGGTACACGTAGGGGGTGGGTGGCCAGCACCACGCCCGACCGCCTTTGTCTCCCTAGTAGCGATGTTTACACATTGCACCAGGTACTCATTTGAGGCTGAGTCGACCTAGGGGAGGCCCAGGACCGGTTCAGATAATCGTCACTGGTGTTGGCCGTGAGCGGGAATCGAACCTGGGTCGCCAGGTTCATAGCGCAGCGTAGCGCTAACCGCTACACTATCGCTCCCCACAGACACACAGACATAGACACACACAGACACGCACACAGACACACAGACACACACACAGACATAGACACACACACACCAACAACCACAACCGCCAATCGCCACTAAGTGGCGGTGACGTTCACCACGACGCTTGTGCCAGGCTATGTGCACCTTGAGGCCACGTGAAGTGTCGAACGCCCGCTGGCAGGAGGTCACGGGGCAGACCCCAAGTGCCACGGGTCGACTGACTGAGATGACTGGCTGATGCACCACCTGTGCCCCCTACCTGTGCCAACCTGCTGTGCTTTAGCCACCCGGCGCTCCGCTCGTTGTTGTGAGCGGTCGCTCCTCCACCCTCCGTTGTTGTTGGAGGGCGACTGCCTCCAACTGCCCAGTAGCGTCCTTCACGAGCCTCCTCCACAGAGGCCGATCTTGACACCGCTGGTACCGGTCATCGGCAAGTCCACTCAGCTCCACATCCTCCTGTACCACATCACTCCATCTCTTCTCTAGCCCGTGCCGCGCCCGTTTAGCCCCCTCGATCCGGCCGAACAAAAGCTGTTTCGGCATGCGGTGGTTGGGCATGCGGGCTACATGACCCAGCCAACGCAGCCTTGCCCGCCGGAGGAGCTCACCGATGGGACCTTGCCAGATCTTTCAAGGATTTGTGAGCTCCTCACACAATCCAGCCTGGTTAAACCCAGGATGGATCGTAGGCAGGCCAGTCTAAATGTTTCTAACCGGCGAAGATGTTCCATTAGGGGGGTCCACGTTTAGGAAGCGAAGAGAAGGGAGGGAATGACTGTGGCCGAGAAGACCTGAAGCTTAGGGCAGAGCGACAGGACCAGGTAGCTTCCACACAGCGTTACGCAACCGATGAAAAGATATTGCCGCTCGACTGATTCGGAGTGAGACCTCTGCTGTTAAACTGGAGCCGGTACCATAAGCACACTGCCCAGGTATGGGAAACTCTCCACTCTCTCCACAACTGCCCCATCACCGATTGGGAGTTGTGGGGGTGGAGTGTCCGATGGTACAAAATACCCAGGCAGGTGCTTAGTTTTGGTGGGGCTGATGGTAAGGCCCACCTCTTAGTGGCAACGCTCCAAGTCTCATCAGCAGCGTCTCCAATCCTCCGCCACCACCCTCCTCCACCCCCTCCACCCCCTCCCTCCCCATCCACCTCCACCCCCCCCCCTGCCACCCCCCTCCTCCACCTCCTCCACCTCCTCCTCCAAATCCACCTCCACCCCATCCTCCACCTCCTCCACCTCCTCCTCCCCATCCACCTCCACCACCTCCCCCTCCACCTCCACCCCCTCCACCTCCTCCTCCACCTCCACCCCTCCTCCACCTCCTCCACCTCCTCCTCCCCCTCCACCCCCTCCACCCCCTTCTCCACCCCCTTCTCCACCTCCTCCACCTCCTCCACCTCCTCCTCCACCTCCTCCTCCCTCTCTAACCCCACGTGGGCTCCGCCCCTCCGCTCACCGTCCTCCTCCTCCTCCACCTCCTCCTCCACCTCCTCCTCCTCCTCCAGCTCCACCTCCACCTCGGCAGCACCAGGCCTGCAGCGTGGAGGGGTCTCGGCCGCCACCTGCTGGACCGCCTCTGCAAAACAGTGGAGGCGGTGACACAGAGGCAAAGGTCCCCCAGGTAGTCTCCTGCAGGGCACCAGGGGCAAGTACTGTTAGTAGCGAGTAGCAGCAGTGTCTATGAAAATACAAAGACAAAGATCCCCCAGGTAGTCTCTAGCAGGCTGTAGGGCAAGTGCTGTTAGTAGCGAGTAGCACTGTCTATGAAGGAGACACAGAGGCAAAGGTCCCCCAGGTAGCCTCCAGCAGGGCAGTAGGGGCAAGTGCTGTTCGTAGCGAGTAGCAGTGTCTATGAAGGAGACACAGACAAAGGTCCCCCAGGTAGCCTCCAGCAGGCTGTAGGGCAAGTGCTGTTAGTAGCGAGTAGAAGTGTCTATGAAGGAGACAGACAAAGGTCCCCCAGGTAGCCTCCAGCAGGGCAGTAGGGGTAAGTGCTGTTCGTAGCGAGTAGCAGTGTCTATGAAGATACAAAGACAAAGATCCCCCAGATAGTCTCTAGCAGGCTGTAGGGGCAAGTGCTGTTAGTAGCGAGTAGCAGCGTCTATGAAGGAGACAGAGACAAAGGTCCCCAGGTAGCCTTCAGCAGGGCTGTAGGGGCAAGTGCTGGTTGTAGCGAGTAGCAGTGGCTATGAAGGAGACACAGACAAAGGTCCCCTGGGTAGCCTCTAGCAGGGCTGTAGGGGCAAGTGCTGTCAGCCAATAGCAGCACCTACGAAGGCCGGCACGGCACACACAGAGGAGATGGGTGGGTGGTCTCCAGCTGTTGTGGTCTCGGTGGTGTCTGGGACTGTTGTTGTTGTTGTCTTGGTGTGGTGTTTGAGACTGTTGTTGTTGTTTGACTGCTGTGCCAGGCTAGGTGCAGGAGGAGGTCGCCCGCCCGCCCGCCCGCCCACCC